ACAGCCCCCTCCCCCAAGCCTGGCCCGGCCGCTCGAAACTGCGCCCCAATTACCTAGTTGGGCCCCAAAGTCTCCGGTCCGGACTCGGTGGCGCGGCAGTAACTTCCACTCGCTCCCCCCACCCCCCCCCGGCGGCGGCGGCGGCGGCGGCGGCGGCTCCTCCGGTCCCTTCAATTATCAGCTGAGCCGCAGCACCGCGGCCGGCGTGCGCCTCCGCCCGCGACGCCTCCCTCCCCGCCCGTTCCAACACCCTCCGGGAACTATTTTGCCCGCCGGCTCGGGCTGACGAGCTCGTCCGCGGGAAAGGCCCCGCTGCCTACTCGCGGCCCATCACATCGCCCCTCCCTCCCCCACCGCCCCAAGCGACTCTCTCCCAGCGGCCTGAGATCTCCCGATCCCTTCGAGGGACCAGGAAGGAGAATGTAGGGCTGTGCTTGGTATCCCTCCGCCGGGGTCACCCCCTCCCCTCCATGGTAGCAGGAACTAATTCCCTTTCGGGTCACCGGGGACCTGAGGGTTGAAATTTCACGGGCCAGAGTTCCCTCTGACTCTTGGGAAAGAGGTCGATCACCCCAAGGCAGAAACCTCCTGCTAGCCCAAAAGCGGGGTTCGATTGAAACTAGGGCTTTGGCCCCATGACCCCAATCAAGCCCCGCCCCTTCCTGGTTGTCTTAGCGACGGCGGTGGCGTCCCAAGATGGCGTCGTGGCTGCCGGAGACTCTGTTCGAAATTGTAGGACAAGGCCCAGCGCCGAGCAAAGACTATTACCAGTTATTGGTCACCCGCTCCCAGGCAAGTGCGAGGCGCGGTTTACCCTCTCTAACTCCCTGCCGCTCCGGTGGAGCGCGGAACGCGAGCCGCGCTAGGCCGAGAGCCACTGTGGCCCGCCGGAAGCGTCCGGTCCCAGCTCCGAGCCGGGAGATTTCCCTCGTCACCTCGGCCTCCTCGGCCGGCTCCTCCGTGGCCTGCGTGTCTTTTCCCAACCCCAGCCCGGCTCGACCCTGGCGAGCTTTTTTTGCCTTCCCACATCGCCGCCCGCTCCCTTCCTGCCACCCGGGGTTCCTACCCGCAGAGTTCCCTCCGCGCGAAGAGAAAAACAGGCGTCCCTGGCTTGCGTGCAGCCTCACCTCAGCGTGGGAAGGAGAGAAAGAAAGACTCAGCCAAGTGTCCCAAGGAGGAGTCGGCAGGGGAGGGGAGAAAGGGACGATCTCTTTTCCAGGGTAGGAGTTAATCATGGGGGGTTTTTTAAATCTCATTGTGGTCTTCACGCGTACCACGACCACATCAAAACTTCCTTATCTCTAGTAGGAATTAATTGTTGAGAGCTTTCCCCTTACCTTCTTGGAGCCCCTTCTATCCCATTGAAAGTGTGCGGGGGGTGGTACAAAAATGTTTCAGCTGCTCTGCGCGTCAGCCCCACCCATGATGACATCTGCTCCACAACAATAAGACCGAGGATTATGTTATCGCTGGAGTAAAGTAACCATCAGCCTATTTTTATGACTACTTTAGCTATTTAAGGTGGGCTTTTGGATAATTTCTTGTGCTCATGAAATGATCAAGTTGAACTGGGCCTTCACTCGGAACACGTTTTCTGATTCCTGGCTGAGCTTAAGCCTGTCACTGAGATAAACCACCTTGTACTTTAATAGATGGTATTTCTATAAAATGAAATTTAGAACTTTGTATATATTTGTTTTGGTGTAGATATTGAATATTGCATGAATTTTCCCGTGAGCCCTTAAGTAGGCAGAGAATGCTTTTTTTTTAGCTTTAAAAGCATCTTTTAAAAATAATAAATATTTTATTTTTTTAACCTGAGATTTATAAATATTGCAAGTATATCAATAATAAAACATGATAGCCTTTCATACTTAAATATTTAATTGAACATTTTTGGAAGGGGAATTTTTACACATTAATTGGAATTTCTTAAACGCTAAAATTCATTTTTTGTACATTTTTAGGACCATTTTCCATTGTCTTAAGATGTATGATCCTAACAATTTTTCACTTTCTAACATTAATGACTGAAAGCAGTAACATCTTACCATATTCATACTTCGTTTTCTATTTTCATCTACCTCACCGAAGTTAAAATGTTCTAATGTTTACAGTTTTTTTCCATAATTTGTCTTTTAAAAATTTTTTTTTGAGAATTTCTTTTTCTTGAAGGTCCGGTATTACAAGTGTACTGTCATGTCTTGAGCTTCAACAAATGAATACTTGTTTACCTTTTTATTTTAGTAAATTAACCATAAGAGTGCTCCTGGCATTAGTTTTCCCCAAGAATGCTTCTGTTGTTGATGTTCAGACTTTGCTCTGTAGTCTAACTTGGGCACACGCCTTCTTCTAACTACTGTGTTTTATGAACCCCCCCTCCCCCACCCAAGGATTCTTAAAGCTTTCCCTCTTTTCTTTTTCATTTTCTTTTCCTTTTCTTTCTTTCTTTCGCAGATCAAAAACTGGCTTTCCTTTCAGGCCCTATTCTTCATGTCAATTGCTTCTATATAAAATCCTTTTCAGGCTGATTCATTTTCTTTTTTAAGCAGACAGATTATATCCACTACAGTCCTCAAATCTGATTAATTCACTCTCTTTTTAAAGTAAAATTTGTTGTAAAAAATAGTAAGCCAAAAAAACAGTCTTTTCAGTCAACCGACTTGAGAATATGCTATTTTCTGACCACAAGATAATTTTTCTAAGGCTCAGCACAGGAAACCAAACATCCACTAAGAGGTGGTCTGACATAAATAAGTACTAAAAGACTAGAATTAAAATGAGTTTTATAAGATGGACTTTTTCTGGAGTGACTTTCTAAAATTTTTCCTCTCTCTTTCTTCCTTTATTTCCAAAAATGTTGTATATTATTCGAAATATGCCCCAGATTTAGATGGATCTTTCTGTCCCTCTGATTCTCTTTTTTATTCTTTCTCACTGCTTTTACTTTTACTGGCTTTAAATTCAAATAACTAAACATTTGACATGGATATGAAGGCAGATATCTCTCTCATTAGGGTCATACCACCGTTCTTATAGTCCAGAATATAAATGTTGTACATAAATATTTTCTTTGCCTTCTTGCTTATACAGTAACATTAAATACATATTTTTATGCTTATAGAGGCATTCCCAGTTAACAACTCGATGCCATGATTTTTTGTTTTTTCCCAAAAAGGCACTTATAGAATATAGTTTGTGATCAATATAGTTTCTCACATTTGATCTTTATAATGATCTGAAGGCTTAGGAGAATCACTGCACTGCTTTCTAAATCAAAGATTTACCCAATTATATTCACTCTAGTTTTAGTAGTATATATATTTTCTTATATTGGATTCTAATTCTTTGAAAACTACTAGATTCATAGTAAGTTAGAGCTGGAAAGAACCTTGAATATTATTTAGGCAAGGGATACTCCACACTTCGCTTCTAAGAAAATCTTAAATTGTGTTCCTGAATGAAGATCCTTTCCTTAATTTAATCAGCAAGTTGGCATTTACTATGGAGATGCAAAATATAAGATTTCTGCCTTCAAAGAATTCATCTTTCATTCCACAAATATGTATTAAGCAACTTTTATGTGCAGGTACTGTTCTGGATGCTGGGGAAACATCAGTGAACCAAACAAAATCCCTCCTCTTGTGGAGCATATAATCTAGGTGAGAGAATATAGTTAGTGATTTGATTTATATAAACACTGAAATGGCTTTTTAAGAACAAAGGAAGTTCATCGCCTAGTTAATGAATAGGACAGATGATTTAAAATCTGAGTCCAGAGGAAGCAAAAATCACTTTAGAGTAGGAGGCTTGGGACGGTATTATTACCAGGCTTTTACTGTTGAAATTCTGTCGTCTTCGTTCTCTTGAAGTGGAAGTATTGCTTAAGATAGTCACCCATGGTGACTTAAGCTTAATGTGACAAATACTGGAAAACTGCTAGAAACAGTAACTGTATGCTAAGTAGATGAGAATTGGCAGATTCTTGCACTTGTGTTAAGCAGTCGTCCCAAGAGCACCGATATGTGATAAGTCATTCCAGCGAATGAAAGGAGGAAGAATGAGTGATAGATTACCTTAATTTGCCTATCTTACTTAAGCTACTAAAAACTCCAAAAAGATACCTAAAGCTAATGTCATCTGAAAAAAAAAAAAAATTCCAAAAGCTCACCCCTCAAAAATAAGAAATATTTTTAACATGCATTAGAGTTGTAGCACTGACAGAAAACACATGAGGTTCCATGCCAGCCTGTGATAGGAAACTGTCCTCTCCAAAGACTTCTGAAAAAGGAATTAAAACTAGATTTAGTGGCTGATGTTTTTAGACTTTGCAACAAAGAATCAGGCCGGTACTGTTTCAAACTGCACAGCAATTTTAAAGATTTAAGATTCAAGCACAGCCTAATAAAAATGTTAATACATGCACCCTTTGACCCTGCAAATCCATTTCTAGGATTTTAAATGCAAAAATGCTTTCACCTATGTACTAGGATATGTGAGCAAGAAGTCCACCAGAGTGAAATAATTATAAAAACATTTTTCCATTAGTGGAAATCTGGTTAAACTGAATCATTCATACCAGAGAATACTATACAACCTTTTAACAACAATATGATGGATCTCTTTAGTAGACCAGATCTTAAGCAAGAAAAATAAGTTGCTGAGTTAAACATTACCATGATCCCGCTTGAAAAAAGGACCACCGCAATAGTTTTATTTTGTTTTAAATAAATGTCAATGAAATTTAAATAAATGTTAGAGGAAACAGTTGAAGCGCTTCACTCTGAGGGATGGAATTTTGATTGCTTTCACTTTCTGCATTACATATTTTTGAAAGATCTGAGTTTTTCTACAATGACCATTTATTTTTATAATCCGAGAAAAGCAATAAAAATTGAAAATGAAAATGTGAGTGGATAGCACATTCTCTGAGAAATTGTCCTGCTCTGTACTTGAACTTGCATCTGTTGCACGAGTACCACCTCTGAGCCACCTCCCACATTACATGATGAGCAGCATTAGTAACTGTGTCACCAGAGTCTACTGACTGCGGGGGGTGGGGGGGAGCGGTTCTGATTCAACAAATTTAGAGGGTGCAAGCAGGCTGATGGTTACTTAGGAAATTTTAATGTCTAGAAACTCCTGATTTTACGTGTTTTTGCTTTTTAGTTTTTAATGTAGGTAATAATTACTTTTTTTTTTTTAAAGATTTTATTTATTTATTTGAGACAGAATGAGAGAGAGAGAGCACATGAGAGAGGGGAGGGTCAGAGGGAGAAGCAGGCTCCCTGCCGAGCAGGGAGCCCGTTGCGGGACTCGATCCAGGGACTCCAGGATTATGACCTGAGCTGAAGGCAGTCGCTTAACCAACTGAGCCACCCAGGCGCCCCGGTAATAATTACTTTTGAGAAAGTAAAGGATTATCTTCTCTTGCTTTGTTGGGGGTGAGATAGTACTAATGAACTATTAAAGAACAGAACTTGTCAAGTAAATTAAAATTATATTAACTAGACACCAGGTTGCACATTTTGGAAGGAGGATGAGGTGCAGTCAAATTGATATCGTGATCGTATTTCCCCAGGGGACCCAGGAACTCCTAAATCATCCTCTGCTCTAGCCCCGCTCCCCACATAAGGTCCCCAAGAGTAACATACATGGAGAAGATAAAGCAAAGGAGCATAAAACATACATTCCTTTTTTGTTTCTGGTTACTCTTTCCTTGTCCCTAAGGGAATGTCTCCCACTGATAGACTGAATGTTTCTTCAGATGTCAAGCTATTTCGCCCATTCAG